TGGATGGGGTGTGAGGGCAGCTGTTGGATGGGGTGTGAGGGTGGCTGTTGGATGGGGTGTGAGGGTGGCTGTTGGATGGGGTGTGAGGGTGGCTGTTGGATGGGGTGTGAGGGCGGCTGTTGGATGGGGTGTGAGGGTGGCTGTTGGATGGGGTGTGAGGGGCGGCTGTTGGATGGGGTGTGAGGGCGGCTGTTGGATGGGGTGTGAGGGCGGCTGTTGGATGGGGTGTGAGGGCGGCTGTTGGATGGGGTGAGGGTGGCTGTTGGATGGGGTGAGGGTGGCTGTTGGATGGGGTGAGGGTGGCTGTTGGATGGGGTGTGAGGGTGGCTGTTGGATGGGGTGTGAGGGTGGCTGTTGGATGGGGGTGTGAGGGTGGCTGTTGGATGGGGTGTGAGGGCGGCTGTTGGATGGGGTGAGGGTGGCTGTTGGATGGGGTGTGAGGGTGGCTGTTGGATGGGGTGTGAGGGTGACTGTTGGATGGGGGTGTGAGGGTGGCTGTTGGATGGGGTGTGAGGGTGGCTGTTGGATGGGGTGTGAGGGTGGCTGTTGGATGGGGTGTAGGGGCGGCTGTTGGATGGGGTGTGAGGGTGGCTGTTGGATGGGGTGTGAGGGGGCTGTTGGATGGGGTGTGAGGGTGGCTGTTGGATGGGGTGTGAGGGTGGCTGTTGGATGGGGTGTGAGGGTGGCTGTTGGATGGGGTGTGAGGGCGGCTGTTGGATGGGGTGTGAGGGTGGCTGTTGGATGGGGTGTGAGGGTGGCTGTTGGATGGGGTGTGAGGGTGGCTGTTGGATGGGGTGTGAGGGTGGCTGTTGGATGGGGTGTGAGGGTGGCTGTTGGATGGGGTGTGAGGGTGGCTGTTGGATGGGGTGTGAGGGTGGCTGTTGGATGGGGTGGAGGGTGGCTGTTGGATGGGGTGTGAGGGTGGCTGTTGGATGGGGTGTGAGGGTGGCTGTTGGATGGGGTGTGAGGGTGGCTGTTGGATGGGGTGTGAGGGTGGCTGTTGGATGGGGTGTGAGGGCGGCTGTTGGATGGGGTGTGAGGGTGGCTGTTGGATGGGGTGTGAGGGTGGCTGTTGGATGGGGTGTGAGGGTGGCTGTTGGATGGGGTGTGAGGGCGGCTGTTGGATGGGGTGTGAGGGTGGCTGTTGGATGGGGTGTGAGGGTGGCTGTTGGATGGGGTGTGAGGGCGGCTGTTGGATGGGGTGTGAGGGTGGCTGTTGGATGGGGTGTGAGGGTGGCTGTTGGATGGGGTGTAGGGGCGGCTGTTGGATGGGGTGTGAGGGTGGCTGTTGGATGGGGTGTGAGGGTGGCTGTTGGATGGGGTGTGAGGGTGGCTGTTGGATGGGGTGTGAGGGCGGCTGTTGGATGGGGTGTGAGGGTGGCTGTTGGATGGGGTGTGAGGGTGGCTGTTGGATGGGGTGTGAGGGTGGCTGTTGGATGGGGTGTGAGGGTGGCTGTTGGATGGGGTGTGAGGGCGGCTGTTAGTAGTAGGGATGACACGCTAAACAGGATTTTTTTGTTTAAATTCGCGTTTAGCGTGTTGGTTGTCCAGTTAATTTAAAATGTCGTGTTTAGCGTTTCGGGTTTTCTAATCTTTTTTCATAGTTAAAGACCGAAATTTGTCAAAGACCATTTTCGGAGAATATGTTCATAGAAGTTTGTTAAGAGTTCTTATGGAGAAAATTCAAAATTTTCAGAGTTCAGTTTTAATATGCCGCCAGGGGTTCCAGGTAAACTCTACGGACAAATTTAGTTAGTTTTCAAAATCGCGCATTTTTCAAAAACCGTTTTCGGATAAAGTGTCCATAAAAGTTTGTTAAGAGTTCTTACGAGGAAAATAATTTCATAAAAGTTTGTTAAGAGTTCTTATGAGGAAAATTCAAAATTTTTCAGAGTTCAGTTTTAGGAAAATATTTCAGAGTTCATATAATCACAGGAGTTTATTTACGAGTTTATGACCAAATTTAGTAAAACGACCATTTTCAGAGAATATGTTCATAGAAGTTTTGTTAAGGGAAATAGATATCTTAGCCCTGACTTTTAGTTTGTATATCCATTTACAGCTATTTCACCCAAAAAAGACCGATTTTCATCAGAGACCATTTGAAGACCGATTTTCCCATATAAGACCAAAATGTGACAGAGATTATTTTAGACTCAAATATTGTCACAGTCCAGTAAAGACAGAAAATTAAACAGAGTATATTTTTCAGGCCAATTTTCAGCAGTCCAGTAAAAGACTCAAAATTTAACATAGTCCAGTTTATGCCCGAAAATAATCAAAATAGTCAGTCTTGTAAACACCGAAAATTAGTCAAGAGTCCAGTTTGAGCCTGAATATTAGAGTCCAGTTCATGATCAAAATTAATCAGAGTCCAATTTAAGACAAAAATTAGTGAGAGACCATTTTAAGACCGAAATAATTCAGAGTTTTACTTACACCTGCGATCTTAATGAGTTCTTATGGAGGAAATTTAAAAATTATCAGAGTCCAGTTGAGACTGTATTTATAAGGATAGTTTCGCTACTAACAGCCCAGTTTTAACCCCATGTTAATCAGTCATATATCAAACGTAGTAAATCAAATTCAGTCAGTAAGCAAGTTCTAGCTCCTGTTCCCGCCTTACTTTATCCCTGTAACTTCTTTACCAAGTCCAATCCCCCTAAAATTTTAAACAGTCATATTTCAGATGTAGTAAATACGATCGGAACAATTACAGAGTTCTAGCTCCTGTCCCCGCCATAACCCTCTCTCATATCTTCGTTAATATCCTATCAATGTCCCTAAAATTTATACCCACTGTATTGCATAGTAAATTAGATCCAAACAATTACCGAGCTCTAGCTCATGTCCCCGCCTTAGTCTCCTGTCGTAGATTCAATACTAACAGTCCAATTTCCCTGAAATTTAAGTCCCCTATATTCCGTTCGTAGTGAATCATATCCGAGCAATTAGCGAGTTCTAGCTCTTGTTCCCACCTTAGTTTCCTGTAATATCTTTGTTAATATCTGAACAATTTTCCTGAAATTTAAACCCGCCATACTTCTAAATGAGTAAATAAAGAAAAAACAATTACCAAGCTCCAGCTCCTTCCCCCCACCTTAACCCTCTCTCCTATTTCATTAGTAGCAAATCAATTTCCCTGAAATTTAAAGCCTCTGTATTTCAGACACAGTAAATAAGATCCAAACAATTACCGAGCTCCAGTTCCTGTCCCCCACCTTAGTTCCCTCTCATATTTTCTTTAATATCTAACCAAATCCCTTAAAATTTAAAACGTAGCTATTTCAGATGCAGTAAATAAGGCCAAGGCAATTACCGAGTTTCAGCTCATGTCCTCTGCTTTAGTTCAATGTTTATCAAAATTATTTCATATCAAAACTCTCTGGGCTATCAAAAGTAACCATCATGTCCTTCAATACCCTTTTGTACTGAGCTATATAAATAATCACCAACGTGCTTAATATTCATGTGGTCAGATCGCACCCTACCTTCAATACCTTTTGTTTACTCAACTAAGCAATAATCACACCTTACCCTTTCCCACCCCCTACCTTCCCCCTTTCTCCCTTACCTCCCCTTGCCTTACCTTCCCCAACTCCCTTTCGCCGTTATCTCCCCACACCCTTTACTTTCCCCCCTTACCTTCTCATCCCTTACCTTCCCCTTCATCTCCCTCATTCCCATCTTATCCAAACCTTCAATAATCCTACTATATTTGTATAATTTCTCTATATTCACTGTGTTCTTCGCATTCTCATCCATGTTTTCTGTGTTCACTCCATGTTCTGCAAATGTTCACAGCATGTTCAGTTCATATTTTTCACTGGTTTTCTCCATTTTTCTGTGTTTTTGTCATTTCCCCGTATGTTTACTGTGTTCTTTTTCATGTTTCCATGTACGTCATATGTTCTCTGTACAACTTTTATACTCAATGGTCATGTTCTCAATGTTTTTAGCAAGTTCTTCAAAAGTTCATTGTTCATTCTTGTATTCCCTATGTTCTGTGCCATATTTTCATGTTCTCTGTATGTATGTCCTCAGCATGTAACCCACAACAGTCGGCTAGCTCACAGGAAACTTATTTACAGATAAGTAAAGAGAGGTATCACGGGCACGGTTCCCACAAGGCCAACAACCGGCTTCCCCAGGATGCAACCCACAACAGTTGCCCAACTCCAGGGTACCTCGGGTGGTACCTTGGGTTCATTCTTGGGTCTGGGTAGTCCTGTTGTGTTCATGCTCCACTCATAATTGCGAATCCTGGGCTGAAATCCCGGGCAGAATAGAAATGGTTGGGCACGTTTCCTATCACCTAATGCCTCTGTTCCCATAGTAGTAAATAAGTACCCAGGAGTTGTGAGTTCAACTGTTGAGGGGTTGCATCCTGGGGAGGGACAGTAGTTGGACCTTACGTCGATAAGAGCCTAAAGAATTAATATACCCAGGCTGCCTGTCCAACAAAATGAATTATATTTAAATATTACCTATTTACTATTAGCTAAGTGGAGTCATCAGGTGACAGGAAATGTGCCTACACGTCTCACTTGTCCTAGAATTGAAAGACCGCTGGAATTGAACCCATGACCTTTCAGTTGTGATCACTACGCATATATAATGACAATACTTTAATCATTTACAGTATATATATATACAAAACAACAGCATGTATATAGACTACATATATGACCAAACATCATGCATGGCAACAGTACCACATGTAGTGACAGCAGCAGTAACAACAACAGTAGTAGCAAACAGTACACTACTCGTCAGCTAGCTCAATCAAAGCGTAAATTAAAGGATATTTAAAAAGCAAGAAACAAATCTTTTTAAATGCCGTGTTGTCAGCTGGGTGGCCACACGAGGCGGGTGGCGACGTGTGGCAACCACCGCCTCACAGCACATTTCTCCTCTATACCTTATTTCTGGCAAAAATTGCAAAGCTACCTATGTCCCACTGACGCCAGTCACGTCACAAATATTGTTTATGGGCTTACCTGTAGTTGTCTTCTGTTGGTAGCGAGTTATTTGGTAATTATGAGCGGAGAAACCTCAGCCCCTGTCTTGCCCTGAACTTGTAAACACAACACTGTTGCCAGACTCCCGGCGCCTTCCACGGCCTCACAACAATTGGACGAAAATTTACATTAAAGTATATATATAACTCAATGTATATGTTATGTATATATTAAAGCTTTTATTCATGATATGTAATAGTTTGTGGGTATATATATGGTTATCGATGCAGTAATCTGTACATAACAACTTTTTCTCTTTAAAATTATAAGTAAAATTTGCATCGCTTATAGACGCTTGCAAATGAATATAATATTATCCCAATTTAACCCCCCATATTTACAAATTAAACCCCAAAATATTATTAATAAATATAACAAAATAACTTGAAACACCCCCTTCCAAATCCCTCAAAAGCCCCATTGTATGCACAGATACAATTAACTTAATATAAATACGCAGAATAGTTAACCTCTTCAAGGAAGGTAATCAAGATTGGCATCAGTGTGGCGCGTACGTTCGGTTCACTTAACACGTCCAATACCGGCGCTTCACACGGCGTCTATCATGTGACCCACGGTTGCGTCAGCCGCCAGTGTGAGGTGCATCTGGTCCCTGTGTATGCTTCTAGTTGTTTCTGGAAGCTTTGGTTTGAATTGCGTCACTAGGCGCAAGAAAGCCATGTCGTCTATATAGCTACGTTCTCTGGACGCTATATATGTTAGTCTGAACTGCGTCTCCCGGCGTAAGGATGCAGTATAATACTTAGCTACGTCTATGGTTTGCTATGCGTCACTCGACGTAAAGAAGCCGTTTAGAATATATTTATCTATATAAGGTATGAGCTTAGTTGCGTCACCGGGGGAAAGAAAGTTGTGTAGCCTAGCTATTGCTATATCTGTGGTCTGAGTTGCGTCACCTTGCGTATGGAAGCTGTTTAGTATATAAATGGTATGATTTCAAATGCATCACCGGGCGTAAGGAAGCTAGTACGTCTATCGGCTGAATTGCATCACCCGGCGTAAGAAAGCCATTTAGTATAGCTTCGTCTATAGAAGGTATGATCTGAATTGTCACCCCGCATAAGGAAGCCGTGGAGTCTATAGCTACGTCAATGGTTTGCATTGCGTCACCCGACGTATGAAAGCCGTTTAGTATAATTTCGCCAATAGAAAGTATGAGCTTAATTGAGAAATATATGTATATATATATATATATATATATATATATATATATATATATATATATATATATATATATATATATATATATATATATATATATATATATATATATATATATATATATATATATATATGACTCAGACTACGGAGGAAGAATTGAAACAGGAATTTCCTTAAGTACTTTCGCATATTAATACATCTTCAGAAGGAATCAATTCTTCCTCCGTGGTCTGACAATGTCACATTTTTCATCATGTGTTAATTTTCGTGATTTACACACACACACACACACACACACACACACACACACACACACACACACACTAGAAGCACCCTGGAAATATCGCTGGAAGACAGAAGAGTTAGGGGGGACATGATCACCACATTCAAGATTCTCAAGGGAATTGATAGGGTAGATAAAGACAGACTATTTAACACAAGGGGAACACGCACTAGGGGACACAGGTGGAAACTGAGTGCCCAAATGAGTCACAGATATTAGAAAGAACTTTTTTAGTGTCAGAGTGGTTGACAAATGGAATGCATTAGGAAGTGATGTGGTGGAGGCTGACTCCATACACAGTTTCAAGTGCAGATATTATAGAGCCCAATAGGCTCAGTAATCTGTACACCGGTTAATTGACGGTTGAGAGGCGGGCCTCTCGATATATATATATATATATATATATATATATATATATATATAAACAAAAACTCCACACCCAAGAAGTGACTCGAACCCATACTGCCAGGAGCACTATGCAACTGGTATACAGGAGACCTTAACTACTCGACCATCACGACCGTACAAAAGATGATGGTAGCCGCGGCTATTTGCCCATCATCCCGATAGCACTTTGATAGTAATCTTGGGCATAGTTATTTTATCAAATCACCTCTTTTTTTGGGGTCATGTAACCAACACAAATGCGAACAAGCCTGAATGTTCCCCAGACATATATGCAACCGAAAACTCCACACCCCAGAAGTCACTCGAACCCATACTGCCAGGAGCACTATGCAACTGGTGTACAGGAGACCTTAACCACTCGACCATCACGGCCGTACAGAAGATGATGGTAGCCGCTCATGTCAGGACCTAGGTATAATTATCTCGGCAGAGAAAACAAAGATACACAATCGGCGCCCACCCAGGCAGGGAGGAGCTGTTCGCAAGATGCTACTGTCTGATGGCTCCCAGCTTGACTATGTAAACAGAGTCAAATACCTTGGCCTTGAGGTGCCACTGTATGGTCCTGTTGTATTCAGACTCTGTCGTCAGTATAAAGAGAGGCTCCGAGCTCTCAAGGCTGTTGCAGGTCATCACTCAAGCTATGGTGCCAATGTCAGAATTGTCAAAATGATGTACCTTGATCTTTAGTGGATTACGCTAGCGGCACCTCTGCTTGCTTTGATGCCTGAAAGAAAGCTTGGAGGGCTTGAAAAATTGCAGAACGAAGCCTTGAGGCTAATCCTTGGGTGCCCTCGTACCACAAAGATACTTAATAAGAAAGGAACTTAATATTCCGAGCGTTGTTGATCGTGTTACTGAAATTAACTGTCAAATTGGTATAAAAATGCTTAGGCTAACTCTTCCTAACCCATGCACAGAAGCCCTCCAGAATTTCTTTATTGAAGATCAGCATTGTTATCTTGAGGTTATCTTGAGATGATTTCGGGGCTTTTTAGTGTCCCCGCGGCCCGGTCCTCGACCAGGCCTCCACCCCCAGGAAGCAGCCCGTGACAGCTGACTAACACCCAGGTACCTATTTTACTGCTAGGTAACAGGGGCATAGGGTGAAAGAAACTCTGCCCATTGTTTCTCGCCGGCGCCCGGGATCGAACCCGGGACCACAGGATCACAACTCCAGTGTGCTGTCCGCTCGGCCGACCGGCTCCCCATGTTGTTCCAAATGGATAACAAAAACTGGAACTCAACTCAGAATGTATCATGTTCATGATTTGTACCAAGAGAAACAACAACGGCACTTTCCTGCACCGTGGGAGGTTACACCCTTTCCAGTTTTAATCCCTCCCTTTACACCCAAGAAGCAAATTAGAGATCAGTCCAAGCTTCGTCTTGAGGCAAAGCTCAACGCCTTAAGCCATATTGATGCTCTGTCCACAGAGCATTCTCTCTCTCAAATCATATACACTGATGGTTCCCTACACCGCCCCACGGGTGCAGCTGGAAGTGCAATGGTCCTGACAATGGGCGATGGCTTATACTTTGAGTGGGGAGTCCGTATAAACAACTGGGCCTCTACCCTTCAGACCGAACTATTTGCCTTGATCCTTGCACTGAAGTGTGTACAAGTCTCCAAACTTGATACATTAATTGTAAGTGACTCCTTATCATCCTTAAATGCTCTCAACTCTTTAAGACATAACTGTAACATGCTCGTGTCCGAAGCTAGACACAAATACAACAAAATTATTAAGGATGGTAACAAAGTCCATTTCATGTGGTCTCCATCTCATGTTGGCCTCCGAATGCACGATAGAGCTGATAAGTTAGCCAAAGAATCTGCCTTTAAAGGAGCCGTTGAGTGTAACCTTGGATTGTCAATGAGCAATCTGAGAGCAGCAGTACACCGAGAACTTCAACAAGATCTTGTAGATCTGAGGCAAAGTGAAATTGACACCAGTAATTCCATCTATCATCATACTATCATGCAGGAGGAGCCACACATCTATGGATCGTCCAATAAAATCAGCAGACTTCTAGATGTTACTACTGCTCGGCTTAGACTCGGTTACAAGTATCTCTGGGAATTCTCATTATCTGCCGATGTAGACCTGACCAAATGTAAACTGTGTCAACAAAATTATTCCCACACCCTCCGTCACTATGTGATGGAGTGCGAAAAGATACGTGAATTTAGAGACAATTCTATAACCAATGTACCAACGATGTGTAAATATTTCATTCAAAATGATCTGCTACCAGAAATTTTAGCCAAATATCCCCAGTTTGCTAACTGTAGGTAGTAACTAAGTGATTGTAACCTATCCACCGCTGCCCACTGGATGGGGGGCGGTGTGCAGGACAAACATATCAATTGTGACACTAGCTCTCCACATATGTCAGCTGCTTAATTTAGAAACTGTACTTGTGGTCGATCTCGAACTCATTGTTGATGTGACGACTTATACTGAATTTTGTAACTAGCTCATCAAGATTGTAACTTGCTTAGCTAAATGAATTGTGGGGTTCAGTCCCTGAGCCCATTATGTGCCTCTGTAACCCTTTCCACTACCGCCCACAAGATGGGTATGGGGTGCATAATAAATGAACTAAACTAAAAAAAACTGTAAGTACCGGTGCCTGCTGCCCGCCTCAGCGCTGCCTACGCAAGTTTCAACAACACCATATACCCCATATATACCATATACCCCAGTCCATTCTCAACAATCATGTCTCTCAAAAAACAAGGCTGCGCAGGGAAAAAAGAGCAACAACTCTCCAAACAATGCATCCATCCCGAACACCACTGACAGCCATCGTGTTTCGCCCTCTGGGAGCTCTGGGGCCCGCGGCGGCGATGCTGCTCTCCCTTCTACTCCACCACTGAGCCAGGGAGCTGTGCCCTCTCAATCCTCTTCACATTCCACCCTTACATCCCACTTCACGAAATTCAAGCGTGCTTATAAATACAAATATACAAATATTTATTCAAGTAAAGTACATACATACAAGGTGAGATACAAAACGTTGATGGATTTATAGATAGAGCTAGTACATATAATGCTTAAAGCCTAGGGGCCAGATTCACGAAGCAGTTACGCAAGCACTTACGAACGTTTACATCTTTCCTCAATCTTTGACGGCTTTGGTTACATTTATTAAACAACTTACAAACATGAAACTTCCCATTCAACTGTTGTTATTGTTATAAACAGCCTCCTGGTGCTTTGGAGCTCATTAACTGTTTAATAATTGTAAACTAAGTCGCCAAAGATTGAGAAAAGATGTACAGGTTCGTAAGTGCTTGCGTAACTTCTTCGTGAATCTGGCTCTAGGCTTCTGGTTCCTCGCTGGATTTCCCGAACTGGGCCGAGAATCAGTGGTTCAAAAAGTTGTGCCTAGTCCTTGAGGCTCAAATTACGATCATTCAGAGCATTCAAACTGAGAATCAAGTGAACGCGCGAACCTTCATCATCAACAACAAGTAATAACCCTTCTCGACGAGGATATTAGAACCTATAAGGCTAGCCAAGATCAACTCCAGCATGACTTGAATGATCTCCGTGAGGAAAACATACGTCTGAAAACTGATGAAGTCATAAAAAAACAAGAGGACAAAGAGGCTCTCAACAAAATGACTGTATGTATCAGTACTTTATCCGCCCAACATTCCATTTCCCAGAATGAACAAGGTCAGTAAAAGCTGCTTGACTCCGTTGTTGTGTCATCTCCATCTATTCCTGTGGAAAGTGAAGGTGAGAAGTGTATTGATATAGTTCATGCTCTCATAAAAGACGAATTGCATTATAATCTCAATAAAACAGACATAATTGCTGCCTACAGAGTAGGCAAAAGGAATCCCTCAGGACAAAACCAGAGAAAAATTCGCCTTAAGCTAGCTACCAAGTCCTTGAAATCTGATCTTGTCCGGTCAGCAGTACCCTCACGTAAGGGGATTTACATCAATGAGTACTTGATCACAAAAAGGCTGGGACTCCTCTTCCGTCTGCGTCAAATCCGGTAAAATAACCTGGGTGTGATCCAGCAGTGCTTCGTGAGAGACGGTATGATAAAAGTGAGAAAAGCTTCTTCTGGTAAAATGTTTACAATCTCAAATAAGGATACCTTCGAAACATTTCTCAACGAGTGTGGTTTGACTGACCTGGCTGACCCAGTCAGTTAGTTAGGCCAGCCTGTCATAACCCTTTCACCTGTGCCTCTTATTTTTAATCCCCTTGTCACCAAGTGCAGGCTAGGTAACCTGTACTTCATTGTTACCTAGCCTCCCCGGCCCATACTCCCTTGCTCTATTGTACCTCGGCGTTGCCTGTGTTCTGTTGAG